CGGCAGCGGCCGCAGCCACCGCACCTCGTCGAGCTTCGGGGCGCCCCAGAGCGCGAGCGGGCAGAGCAGCTTGGCGGTGCCCCCTAGCGGGGCCAGGTGGAACTTGCCGGAGTCCCCTGCGCCGCGGAGAGAAAAAGGGACCTGGCGATCTGGGAGGGACGGGACGGAGCGAGCTGGGCGAAGGGTGCGGAAGGAGATAGCCTGGGGAAGGGGAGAGCCTGGAAGGGCACTGGAGAGGCCGGGGTGAGAAGAGGCCCCCAGAAGGAAGGAGGCCTGTCGCCGGGCCTCCTGGGTCTTGGGGCCCCGTGGTCAGAGGTTCAGGAGCTCCTACCTGACGCGGGCGTGGGCAGCTGGAGGAAGACGAGCGTGGCGAGGCAGCCGGACAGCCAGGAGCCGCAGGAACTTGCTGTCTCCATCCGAACTAGGAGGACAGACAGGCAGACGCCCGAGAGGGCTGGCGAGCTTGACGGGAGAAAGCACACAACGCAGGCGGCCCGCAGGCGCCCCGCAGGCGCCCCGCAATCACACGGCCCGGAGCTCAAACCCCAGCTCCGCGCCTACCTCCGTGTAACGGTGTCACTCAGCTTCCCTGGGACTCTGTTCCTCCGTCTTTAAAATGGGTATAAATGGGCCTCCTAGCAGGATTATTGTGGGCATGGAAGGAGGCGAGTGCCCAACAGGAAGGCTGGCATCAGGGTTAAGTCTATAAATGCCATGAGTGAGGACCGACGGTGAGACACTGAGTGTGCCTCTCCGTTGCTCTCTCAAATCAATAGAAACATATATTTTAAAAAGGTATGGAGCCCCCCGGGCGTGGCTCAGCGGTTGAGCATCGACCTAGGATCCAGGCGATCGGGGTTCGATTCCCGGTCAGGGCACATGCCCGGGTGGCAGGCGCTGGGCCGTGCAGGAGGCAGCCGATCAATGACGACTCTCATCATTGATGTTTCTCTCTCTCTCTCTCCCTCTCCCTTCCTCTCTCTGAAATCAATAAAGATACATATGTATATATATTTTAAAAAGCTATGGCTAGTATGATACAATTTAGGGAGAAGATGCTTAGAAAAAAAAAGCAAGAATGTAGATAGTAAACAGTGGTTACTTCTAGGGCTGGGAAAAAGCATTACAGCAGAAGTTCCCTTAATAACTCCAAGCAACTTAAGAAGACCCTGCAAATCTACAAATGATGGGCCTGAAAGAACACAGCACAGGTCCTGGCTAATAGTAAGGGCTAAATAAGTGGTAGTTGTAATAATTAATAATGATGACAATAATGCCTAAATGAGAGTCTTCCGACAAAACCTACCCAGCCCCCTGGTCACCTGTCCCCTTTTGTGATCCTCATTTCCCATTGCCTCACTGTGTCCTTTAAAATGTTCTTGTGAGCCTGGCTGGTGTGGCTCAGCAGTTGAGCATTGACCTATGACCCAGGAGATCATGGTTCGATTCCCGGTCAGGGCACATGCCAGGGTTCCGGCCTCAACCCCCGGTGGGGGACGTGCAGGAGGCGGCTGATCAATGACTCTCTCATCGTTGATGTTTCTCTCTCTCCATTTCCCTCCCTCTCTCTGAAATCAGTAAAAACATATTTTAAATAAATAAATAAATAAATAAATATTCTTGTGAGTAAGGAGAAAGGGAATAGTTTCTCCAACAAACTTGAGGATCCTGAGAAAGTTAAAGAACTAAAAAGAACAAAGAGAGGGGAGAGGGAGGAGCACTCACCACCTTGGAATCAGAGGCCCTTTGTCCGTCAGAGCTGGAGTCTCCAAGCTGGGGACCCTCCCTCTATCCATCCAGGGAGATCAGGCCTCAGGCAGAGGGATCAGGAAGGGCTCTGGAGGTGCCTGGGAAAAGCTCATCTTTCATTCTAATGCCCACAGCACTCAGCCAGGGGCTCCCACAGACTCCCTTCAAGCTGTCCCTACACACCAACAAGCCACTCCCTGCCTGTCTGCCCCTGATAAAGAAACAGCAAAGAGAAGCCTCCCTGAAAAAAACGAGGGAAACTCTGAGCGCCACAGGGTGTGAGGGCCCTTGGCCCTCAGCACACTTTCCTTCCCCAGCTAACTGCATAGCGATTCCCTTTCACACGTTTTGACCCTGAAGCAGCCTTTCTGAAAATCTTGTTCCCATTTATGTTCCAAATCTGAGTAAAATTGAAGATTGGTTTCAAAGACACCCACCAATTAGCCACCGTCTTTAACTCACTCCCTTTATCTGCAGCTGCACCCTGAGGCGCGCTTTCTGACAAGCAAACCTGCTACTGTCTACCAGCCTGTGATAAACCCTTTCCTGCCTGTCTTCACAGTTCTCATAACATCCGTAACTGTATATTCATAATGTCCATAATTGTATCCTAAATAATGCATTTTAAAAACAAAACAAAAACCAGACTCAGAAACAGAGACCGAAGGGATGGTTACCAGAAGGGAGGGGATGGAGGGATGGATAAAAAAGGTGGAGGGGAATACAGTCAATAATATGTGATGGGTCTACCAGTGGCACATGGCTACTAGAATCAGTGGGGTGATCACATTGTAAGGTATAAAAATGTCGACTCACTATCCTGTACACCTGAAACTAATATAACCAATATAAGATTGCATACCAACTATACTTAAATTAAAAAATAAATTTAAAAAATGGTTCTTTCTGGAAAAGACATGAAACTGATGGGAGAGGAGAGAGAGTAGGAAAGAAACTTTCATTTTTACTCTTCATGGTTTTTACAAGGAGCACATATTACTTATATGATATTTAAATAATAATATATATTGGGGAAAACCCAATGCTTTATATACTTTTATGTATTTTTCAACCTTATAAAAATGGAGTACATTGTACATAATTCTCTATAATTTTCTCTTTTCACTCAACATTAGTTTTTGAGTCTAGCTGACACCATGGTGGCCCAAACCATGTCCCCTCAACTCATCCGATTTTGGGGTAGCTGAGACTTGCAGACAAGCTGCCAGCATGTTACCCAAAAGGCTACAGCAGCTCTGGTTATCTGACTTGGGCTCTCTACAAAGCTTGAGAAGGCTGTTTGGCTTGTATGCAGCCTAGGAGTTCAGGAAAGTTAATGCCTCAGGGGATCGACCTGCAGTGACAGGAGTCAGGGGAAAATGCTCTAGCCTCGAACCTTCAGAGGACAGTTCTGAACTGTATTCTTCACAATTCTCAGAGAGCCCTCAGTGGGAATGAGCACAGTAGCCCACAGTCATCATTAGCTCAATAATGCACATTTTATTGGGTTTTATTGGGATCACCTTCTAAATATGAAAAGACTTGCCCCATACTCTGCTTTGGGTGGAGTACAATTTAAGACACTGAAATTCATCCAGACTGATTCACAGAGCTCCATTACATTCACTCACCTCGGTGTGGCAGACCATTGCAAGAATATACCAACAGATTGTCCACTCTTTTGATTATAAAAACATGGTTTCTGGGCTTTTGCTTTTACAAACAGTATTGCTATGAACATTCTTGATACATGTTTTCTAGCTCACATGTGCAAGAATTTCTCTAGGACTGCAGTTTTCAATGTGTGGTCCATGAACTCTGGGAGTCCCTGAGACCCTTTCAGGAGGTTCCCCAGTATCATTACATTCAAAATGATACTAAGCCATTATTTGCCCTTTTCATTGTGTGACATTTTCTTTTTTTCTTTTTTTATTGATTTCAGAGAGAGGAAGGGAGAGAGAGAGAGAAATAGAAACATCAATGATGAGAGAGTCATTGATCGGCTGCCTCCTGCATGCCCTTTGCTGGGGATCAAACCTGCAATCCAGGCAGGTGCCCTAACCAGGAATCGAACCTCAAATCTCCCAGATCATAGGTCGATGCTCAACCGCTGAGCCACGCCAACGTGGCATTGTGTGACATTTTCAATGATGCTGCAAAAGCAATAATTTTTAAGACACACACACACACACACAACCTTGCAATCACCATTCTACTTTCTAAGAGTTTGACTACTTTAGATATCCCATATAAATAGAATCATGCAGTATTTGTCTTTTTGAGAGGTTGTGCTCATTTGTAAGGGTTTTGATATGTGGTACTAAACTGATTTCCAAAAAGTTGTGACAATTTACACTTTGTGTGTGTCCATCTGGGCAACACCCTGTTTGCTTAGCACCCATCATTTGATTCAACAGGAACAAAAGTAGTGGGCCTGAACACATTTTCCTTTGAATAGGCCATTGTCCTTTCTAGAATCCTGGCTGAAATACTTGCTGGTGCATTTACTAGCTGTGTGACCTTGGACAAGTCCCTTGTCTTCTCAGTGTCTCTGTTCCTCTATCTGCAAAATGGGGATAATAATAATAGTATATTACTACACATACTTATTAGAAATACATGAGTTAAAGAATGTGGAGCTCTAAGAACAGTGCCTGAAACATAAAAAGCCCAGAAGAGAGGTGACTATTATTGTTCTTGTTGTTAGATTAAACAGGATTTCTGTTGTCAAAGCATTTATCTACCATTTTCTTCAATCCTTGATAATATAATGAATGAAAAATGACAGCCAGGGTGTTTTTGGACTGCGGACGGTTTCCTTTTTCAAAGTCCTGTGGCAAACAGGATCTCACTTGATCTTCCTAATAAGCTCGGAAATCAAGAAGACAGCAATCGCCAACCCCGCTTTCCGAATTCATGATCTGAGGCTCAAAAAGTTACAGTTCTAGCCGCAGGTTTCAGATCTCACTCTTCAAAGCCTAGCAGCTGTCCCAGAAAATATTCCCGGGAAAAACCTTTGGGAAACCGCGCCTTCCCCA